TTTTCGAAATTTTTATTAATCTTGACTATTTTCCGATTATCGGTAATCGTAATCAATTAGTAATCGTCCGAATCTGAAAATAATCGTAATATAATTATTACTTACCTTTCAAAAAAAAAAAAAAACTAGTTACTAATTATTATGATTAGTAATCATTACTTAACAGCTTTGATTAAAACTTAATTGTGAACTCCGCAATTAATAACAGGTTGTGAAAATTATGATAAGCATTATAAATAATTTATATAATAATTATATTATACACTTATATACAGAGTTTTCCAATAAGAGTGATATGACATACTAACAACAAAAAAACAAATGTTGTGTTGTGAAGTACAATCGATACATTTACGAACGAATTTGATGAACCCAATTTTCGAGCACTTTTTCCACTAAATAAAGTCGTGTGTCTGAATAGCACATTCTATATTGACTTCTAAAGATTGAAGAGAGTTTGGTTTATTCCTAAGGACTAATGACTTCAAATAACGCCACATGAAGTTGTCTAATAGTGTTGAATCGGCAACTTCTTGAAGTCGTTTAATGTCACAATCTCTTGGAATATTCGAATCTCCAAACTTGTCTCGCAATAAATCGGAACACCAGACATTGTAAGGAAGAAATTCTTCTAATTGCGGTCATAAAAGTTGGTTAAATCGATCAGTACCGCTCTCTATTGCCACTAGCGGTGTCAACAGCTTCACTTCGTAAGAAGTAAGGACCCATGATTCTACCAGACCAAAAACTACAGCAAACTGTCAGTTTGGGTGAATGTAATGGTTGTTCGTGAATAATTTTTGGATTTTTTTCGTACCAGAAACGACAGTTTGGATTATTTACCGCTCCCCCCAGAGATGAAAGTGAGCCTCATCGGAGTAGAATATTTCACTTAAAAAATCTTTATGGTTTTCCAGTTGTTCTAAGCCAAAGTCACAAATTCACAAAGTTAACGGTGGTCCAATGGCTTCAGTTCTTGAGTGAGAACAATTTATATGGCAGCAAGCCCAAATTCTTTCTCAAAATCCGGCAGATTGTAGTTAAAACAGTTCAAATTCTTGAGAACGTCTTCGACAACACTTGCCTGAACGGTAGCAATATCTTCCTTACTTCGAGCGGTTCTTTGTATTATTGTATTTGTATTATTGGCAGTTGTATCTGGAGAACGATTATTCTGATAAGAAAATATATAACAGATTATGACATTTTCGAAATGACCGAAACGAAACTAAGTAATCATTCATATTGGAAAAGCTTTTATAAAAATCCCTTTGATTAAAATGGTCGAAATATATTTTCATTTGTAATAATTGTTGGGCCATAGTCTAAAGTATGTTGTTAAAAATTAGGGTATGATAATTCTTTCTTTCTTCCACCTTTAGAAACTATTTAGAAACATTAATACAACATTTCTAACAGTGACGCTGTTTGTAGATATATTTTCTAAAGCATATTAAACTATATTTATCTATTCGACTATAACTTGCTTTACTTTTTAGGGTGCGCAGAAAATTGCACTTCCTTTTCAATGTAATCAAAAGCTAACTGTGAAACAAATATTGTCACATTTTACTGGTATGGAGGCTTCCGCTAAAAATCCCAAAGAGATATTTACAGCCGACATACAAAAGGACTTGCTACTACTTGAGGAACAAGAGGGTTCGGTCAACTTCAAATTCGGTGTGGTATACATGAAACCTGGTCAAGTTTGTGACGACGAAATGCTGAGCAATCGTAAGTAGTAACAAGTGAGAAAAACCATTTATTTATTTATTTTAATATGGCCTGTAAATAAATTTACAGACATACTAGAAAAACAAAGGAGCTGCTTAGGCCTACATCCAAAAAAAAAAAAAACTAATTTCGGACCTAACCGAACATTTTATGCTCTCGCAATTTGCAAAGACCCGGTGATTGCCAATCTTTAAATTAAGAAATTGTTATATTATATAGGAATTCGAAATTCGTTAGTTTATAAAACCGTAAATGGTAGAAGAATGTTTGGTGTGACATTAGCTTTTACTATAGGTCATATGCAGAAAAAAATCCCTCTGAATTTATTCAGACATATAACATGCATTTAGGCTCTTAATATGCACGTTGTTGAAAGCACTATTTGTACAAAGTTGTGTACCGATATCTTCGTTTACTTTTGAGCTCAGCATTGCACAGTGAAACAATTTTATGTAATTCAATGTTATATGGGGAGACTTTGTTTTAATTAGATTACGGAAAATATTTTCAAGAAATTTGTATACATATAACCCATTCGGGTGAGCAGCCAACCCACTTTTTAATTAAGACTGTCCGCATTGTGGTCCTTTGTACCAACTTTTGGTTCCATACCTTAATGTGTGCCTAAGCAATATCACTATCCCAACCAATTGTTCACAATCAGTATATAAAGCGGGAAGTTTTAGGTTAATTCATTGGACTTCTCACTGTTATGAAAATATTTTCTAGCTATGTATGTATATATATATTTATAATTTACATATATTTAATTTTTACAATTATATCTCACTTGAGTATATTTTTAACAGAAGATGCAAGTACAGACTTCGAGAATTTTCTGCATATACTTGGGGAACGTATACGTCTTAAAAGTTGGGATCGCTTCCGTGGTGGATTAGATGTGAAAGGTATTTCCTCTGAATAAATCACATGACTTATACAATGATTGAACACCTCTATTTCATATATTATATATTCTCTAATTATACATTTGAAATTTTACATCACAACAACGCATTGTTTACAAAACATTAGAAACTATTATGAAATGAATTAAATTGTGTTCAGTTTGTATGGAAGCTATATGCTATAGTAATCCGTTCTGAACAATTGTTATGCAGATTATATTGTTACCTCAAGTAGTAATTCATGCAAAATTTCGTGAAGAAACCACGTCAAATGCCAAAGTTTTTTATACAGGCCCTTGATTCCTATCGTTCGGTTTGTATGACAGCTGGATGCTATAGTGAGCCGATCTGAATAATTTCTTCGGAGATTGCAATTCGGAGATTCGGAGATTGCAACGTTGTTTTAGAAAATAATCTGAAGTTTTCCATACAAGAACTTGATTCCCATCGTTCAGTTTGCATGGCAGCTATATGTTATAGTGGTCCGATATCGACAGTTCCGACAAATGAGCAGCTTCTTGAAAAGAAAATGACGTTTGCAAAATTTCAAAACGATATCTTCAAACTGAGGGACTAGTTCGTATATATACAGACAGACGACAGATATACAGACTAAATCGACTCAGCTCGTCATACTGATCATTTATATATATACTTTATAGGGTCTCCGACCCTTCCTTCTGGGTGTTACAAACTTCGTGACATACTTAATATTCCCTTTTCAGGGTATAATTGTTTTGAATTTTCGCGCATTTTATAGAAATAAATTCAATAGAAGAGTAATTGAGGAATAGTAGTGATATTAGTTATTTACAGGCTCGCAGAATGTTCCACCGGCAGAAGAAGCAAAAAGCCATACTACTATCAAACAATTTATTTTGCTATCATAGACTCATGTAATAAAATACCGTCATCAAAAAGTAAGATGAATTTGTTTATAAAAATATAAATTCTTTATTTACATATTCTTCCAAATAAATATCAACCCCTTCAAAGTATATTAATTCGCGTCTGATAGAACGAACTTTTGACAACGCTTTTCCAGTCCCCGATTAAGCCTGAATTGTTTTCCCGGTCTTCAAGACCTTAACAGATTAATTTTTTACCTTCTCAATCGAGTCAAAATAGTATTGGCATTGGTCTTTAAAGCTTCCTGAATAGCCTGAATTGGATGGTACGAAATCATATAATATAATGGAGAAAATCTCTTAAATGGATTTTGTTTAAAATAAAAGAAGTTTTTCAAATTGTTTAAGTAGTATACTTTACCATATCTACATAGTTTTATGTTTATCTTCTTTATTGGGGAACCGAACATCTATAACGCATTGCAAAGACCGAAATAACAAAATAGTAAGGAAAAGTGAAAATTAGCAGGCGTTAGCAAAGTATCTAAATGTTGCCATTAATAATCAAATCATATCAACACTTGACTAATCAATAGAATTTTCATTATCACAATTCAAAACTTATGCTTCAAATATCACTTGTTTACACATGTGTTTAACAGCTGCCTGCGGTTTCACTAACAGAAACTAGCAGGTTCTTGGGCTCACAATTTATGCTCTCTTCTGCAAGTTTTTTGGGTTTAGAAACGCTTTCGCAGCATATACTTTTGTAGCTAGTAATAGTTAAGAAAGAAATATAAAAACTTATCACGTGTACTCATAGCGCGCAGAGAGTGCTCGGCAGGCAAGGGGCTGACGACCAATAAGGTTGTAACGGCTGTTGCCATTTCAACGACTCGAACTCTTAGTACTGTTTTGATCGCGTGTGGAAACAAGTGTTCGCGGGTTTAGAATAATAGATAAATAGAAATGTCGGTTGATGGTTCTGTTCTTTTTTTGTTTTTTTGCTCTATTCATGCTTACCTCCCTCCGTCCAGACTTGCCTCCGTATCCTTTTGCAAAACCTGTCACCCTCCGTGCATAACTTTAAGCCGAAAGAGGTAGTTATCTTCACCTTGGTGCCTGATTTCAACACCAGAAGATGGGTTATAGAAGTTAGAGATTCGCTAGGTAAATCCTCATTTTCTCTCGTATGCTATGTACTTATTGAACAGCTCTATATATTTACTACAACTTTGTGTGAATCCGACGCTACTTCAGTCCAAGTAAAAGTAGCAGAAACCGGACTTTGTGCGCAAAGTAATCATTCATAACCGCAAATATTATGGTAGCTCTAGAACAATAGTCGGCATCAGATCAACTGCGACTATGTAGGTGAGCACGAAAATAAAGACACTGTTGACATAAATTCTCTGAATCTTTTTCAGTACTTTCGTGCTTCCTGATTTATTTTATATACCGCATTGTACGATTAACATAAATATAATGGACACTACAAACTATCATTTTGGTGTCTTTAAACAATCTAAGACACAAAACATAGCTCATAGCACCACAAAGCCTTCTTAATGAAAAACAATTCTTGAAAGACACATTTCCTTTAGCGACATAATCATGCGTGATGTTGTTTCGCCGCTGCCTCGTCAACGGACAAACGATATACGTTAGAACGGTAGAGAGCAAGGTACGTGTAGTTAGCTTACACAATTGTGCTGTGAAATGCCGACCACTGATCTAGAAACCAATTAGTGAAGAAAAGCCTTCGAGAATAGAAATTTAAAGCAAAAAATGGGAACAAATTGGTAATTATATATGGATTTCTCATCTTATCCCATATGATCATGATTCGAAATGAGGGAATTTAGTACTAAAAAATACATACACCCAATAAATAGCAATAAGTAAGAAATAAACAAAATCAGAAAATAGTTAATAAGATACTATATGAAAAAATAAGTATAAAATACTAATATAATAATATTTTCTAATTTTCATTATTGTGGTATTTCCTTATGTAAACATAACAGGCGATATGACTGGCAAATATTCTGTCTATACGCTATATGAAGGCCACGAAATAATGTTTCACGTCTCGACGCTCCTACCATTTTCCCACGATAATCGACAACAGGTGCATATGAAATAATTGAAAATTCTTTTTGACACTTTTCGTTTAAAAAATTTTGTTTGGTTAGTTATTAACAATAATTAATATATATTTAAATACAGGTGGAACGGAAACGGCATATTGGCAATGACATTGTAAACATAATTTTCATTGATCAGCCAACCGCAGACAAAACGAATATGCAGCAAATGGAGGGCAAGGCGAAAGATAACAGCGAACTTGTACTGCCGACAGCGTTTGATCCTACGTGGATCAAAAGTCAATTTACACGTAAGCACAAGGATTAAGATTGTTTCTAAAAATAAAAGGTCAATAGATTCTGGTACATATGGTGACTACCTCTATTGCCTAGCCTGAAAATAAAATAAGTTCTTACAGTACTAATTAAGGTATTAATTATGGTTAATCACTTTCACAGATATATTTGCGGTGATTACAAAAATCAACAATGCCTACCGTTTAGCAGTATTTTGCGATGAAAATGTGCCGCCGTTCGGTCCGACTCTTCCAAATCCACCGGAATTTACGGTTAGTGTTATAAAAGTACCCCACTTAAAGTGTCAAACAAAATGTGCATACTACTGTCAGCAAAAAATATAAAATTTTTTAATTTAAATTTAACTTGAAAACCCATTCGTTGACGTATTTTTTTGTTTTTGGTGCTATGACTGTCAGAGAAATCTGCCATCAAAATAATCATTAGTGTTTAGTATATGCTTGTCTTTTTGAAGGACGTAATTTGCATACAGAGATTTTTACGATAAGTGATAGTACTCAACAAAGAAGTTTTATGAAATTTCGGGTATGCAATCACATCATGTCTGAATTTGGTACCCCCGCAAAAATAATACGGCTGTGTAAACTAACGTTGAGCAACATCAAAAGCTCCGTCAGAATCGGGAAGGACCACTCTGAGCCGTTCAATACCAAAGCGACGTTCAGAGAAGCCACTCCCCAGCGTGGGACTTCTTCAATCCGCTGGTGGCAAAAATAATTTGAGCTTCTGAACTTAATCGAGCAGGTACAATCTTTTATAAGAGTACACAGCTGCTGGCGTATGCCGATGGTATTAATATCACCCGAGTTGTTAGTTCTGCTTTCTCCAGAGTGGACAAGGAAGCAAGGCAAATGAGTCTGGCTGTGAACGAGGGCAAGACGAAATATCTCTTGTCATCAAATAAACAGTAGTCGCACTCACGATTTGGCTCTCACGTCACTGTTGACAGTCATAACTTTGAAGTTGTAGATAACTTCGTCTATTTAGGAACCAGTAAAAACAGCACCAACAATGTCAGCCTGGAAATCCAAAATCACGATAACTCTTGCCAACAGGTGCTACTTCGGACAGAGTAGGCAATTGAGAAGCACAGTCCTCTCTCGACAAACAAAAACCAAACTCTATAAGTTACTCCTAATTCCCTTCCTGCCATATGGTGCAGAGGCTTGGGCGATGACAACAACTGATGAGTCGACGTTGCGAGTTTTCGAAAGAAAAGTTCTGCGAAAKATTTATGGTCCCTTGCGCGTTGGCCACGGCGAATATCGCATTCGATGGAACGATGAGCTGTACGAGATATACGGCGACATTGACGAATTAAAAGACAGCGGCTACGCTGGCTAGGTCATGTTGTCCGAAAGGACGAAAACACGCCAGCTCTGAAAGTATTCGACGCTGTACCCGCGGGGGCGAGCAGAGAAAAAGCTCCACTCCGTTGGAAGGACCAGGTGGAGAAGGACCGCCACGTAGCGTAAAGAAGAAACGACTGGCGCGCTGTTGCTGACTCAGCTATAATCGCGTAAGCGGTGTCCACGCCAGTAAAGAAGAATCAAATTTCTGGCGCCGAAACATTCAATGTATTGGAAAATCTTTACTGATAAACCACGTCAACAAAGATCAAAAAACATCTTTATGTTGATAGGTTTCTACAACTATTGTGATATGGCGCACTTCGAATTCCTTGCGACCAGCCAATCTGCCAAAATACTATGTGAGTGTTAGGCGTCGTTTGCTCGAAGCTAAAAGGGCGGGAATTATTGGCCAACAACTCTTGGTTTTCGCACCATGTTAATGCACCATCGCATTCTGAATTGATTATTCGTGAGTTGGGCGCCAAATTTTAACAAAAATGCCATGATCATCGTTCGAGTTTGGCTTCTAATGCATTTAGTTAAAGATTTATCGCATTTCTAGCAATTTTTATACTCTCGCAACAATGTTGCTAAAGAGAGTATTATAGTTTTGTTCACATAACGGTGTTTTGTAAGTCCTAAAACAAACAGATATAGGGTATAGGGTTATATATACCAAAATGATCAGGGTGACGAGTAGAGTTGAAATCCGGATG